CTAGTGTGATCTCATGATTGGAAAATCCCCTAGATCGCTATTTGCCGATAGAAACGACATTTCAAACTAATTTCCATCAATACTGAAAGACCGATTTTCGATTCGTAATATTTGTCGACAATAACTTGTTAAGATGAATTTGAACAAAATCGATCATCATCAACAATTGGGGGGGGGTGGGGTGGGGGGGGTGGGGGGGGGGGGGGGGGGGGTGGGGGTGAAATCATCCCTTTCCTCGATCCCCCAACCCTCCTTCCGCCTGTGTTGCGACCCTCTCTAATCAAGTTTGGACCAGGTAACCTAGTGGTTGACATCATGAGCACCAATCTACGCAATCGGGTTACGTTGACATGCATTAACTAAGTCAGCGAACCTGACCAACCGATCCCATTCGTCGCCTCTTACGGCAAGCATGGGTTGCTGAAGACCAACTGTAATCCGGATCCTCTAGGGGACCTTCCTCGATAGCGGGATGGGAAAGATTAAGGGATCTCAAACACCATAATTCATTATCAATCATCCTGGTCATAAAGTACTTCAAATTCGTGGCATCAAACTTTAATCACGACAGATTTTTTTCAATCAGCACATGAGGACCGGGACCCACTGGAGGGAAATTCAAATAGAAGAATATTTATCATCTCTACTTCTGCTTCCTCTTCATACTCCTTCTAAGCATCACCTGCGTTAAGCTCTGCCGCTGCAGCTATCATCTATCATGGAGAATCGCTAACTTAATGGTTCGACATAGCCTTGCACCAGTCTCGAAGGCAATAATTATTAGTTTATACATAATTTCTAGATTATGTAAAAAATAAGAACAAGTTGTCCTTAAAAGAAACTGGAGTCCATCCACATAAGTAGACTTGCCTGTTAGGAGGATAGAATTACTACACATCCAAGGACAACCTTGAAACAAGGTTACGTTCGACCGTTTTGAGGATAAATTAGCTACCTAATCTCTAGGCGACAGACAAGCTGTCATATACAGATGAAACTAGCCTGCGTTCTGTTGCTGCGGCGGAGTATAGTGAGGTCTGTGGCTGATAAGATTACTTAATTATTATTTAATGAATATAAGATTGATATTAACCTTTATAGATACAAGGATGAAAGAGTCTTTACAATCCGTCACTGCAAGAGATATTAGTTTGATGTATTACGTCCAGGATTTGTATAGTTTTATCGATGTAATTAGAGTGACTGTTTGTTTTCACTGTAGGTTGGTGACTGCTCCGAAAACAGACTTACCTAGTTCTCGTTAAGCATCGTTATTTGGTGTATATTCCATTTCCCGGTGGTCATAAATTACCGTGCGGGTCATTGATCCGTTCTCCCGAATGAACAGATATTTTCTGTAAAACTTGTCTACCGTTTCCCTTCTTTGAAACCCTCGCCACGTTCGTTGCCCTTCCAATATAGTTCACTACTCAAGGGAAGCTAAAGACCATGACCTATTGTCGATAGCCACATGTGAAAATCGGGTGTTCAATAACTTGTTTGGAGTAGTATTCAATAACGCATAGATTATAAACTACTGTCGTGCATTACAACACTACGTTTCTGTTGTATACCACACCAACGAAAGGGTTGGGTTTGTTGAAAATAATTTGCTTTCGCCCTCTAGTGAGTGAGAGAGTTGGGTTTAACGCCGCTTTTAACAGTATTCAAGTTATTTCACGGCGTGTCAGCTTAATAGGGGAGGAAACCTCGAAGTGATGCAGGTCTAAGACGTTTAGGACTTCGGTGAAACTCACGGGCACGGGCACAATCCTAGAAACATAATCAGGAGGAACCGGGATTCGAACCCACAATCATAGGTTTCGGGTCTGCCCAAGGGACGCAACTTTGCACAGCGAATAGCGGCGCCTTAGACGACTGAGCTACCCGTGCCCCCCTTCCGCCCCCTAGAGCTTGGTATGAAGATGAGAAACACAGGGATGGTCTAAGAATTTGTTCGAAATATGCTTCTGTTTACCCAACAGTGAGTGGGTACCCGGTAGGATGGAATGGTGATGAGTTAACGTCCCACTTCATGTTCAGATACCCGTAATACTCAAAGTCGCACTCTGGCAGTGCAAGGTACACTACCTTCATAGTGTTTCGGCTTCTGGGAAAACTGTGCTTGTCTTCAGATCCGCTTAAAATTGTTTTACGCCGCACTCAGCAATATCCCATCTAAATGACGACGGTTCGTAAATAATTGAATCTGGACAAGGCAATCCAGTGATTGATATCATGAACATCGATCAACGCAATTGGGATAGGATGGCATGCATCAACCAAGTCAGCGAGCCTGACCACCCGATGCCGTTAGTCGCCTCTTACGACAAGCACAGTCGCCTTTTACGGCAAGCATTGGTTGCTGAAGACCAATTATAACCCTGGTCCGATTAAAATGATAATTGCGCGCGCGCGTGTTTGTGTGTGTGTGTGTGTGTGTTAAATGTTAAGACACCAACGGAAATACTCGCCACGGATACATTAACACACATACCGATCCATCTCTTCAAAGCGGACATTCAAATTTGTGGACAGACCCCTTAGGCCAATTAAAATAATCTTCTCATCACTGAATTCGGATCTGCATTTATATACATATGTCTTATTCTGAAGTTGCACTTTTCAATGTAACCCGTCCTTGCGTCCATTTCGTTCATTTACCAAGCAGCGACTAGTGAAAGAGATGCCATTAATAGTATTAGTACAGTGAAACCCTATTAATACGGACGGTAATGAACCCTTGAAATCGTACGGTTAAACATATGTCCGGATAAATGAATCATGTTACTTTGATCATAAATGTTCCCTATTGAGGTGTCACGTGGTCATGTGTACAACGCACAGGTCATAAATCAGGTGAACGCTGGTGGCGGAGAGTAGTTGGATTGGTGACCATGTTCGACAAGTCCAGAGAGTGCCCAGGGCTTTAGTCAATTTCGATTCAGCCCCACACTGAAGCTCATGTTACATGCGGTGTCTTTTTACGCAAGTAACCTCGAAATATGCCTCTGTTCACCAGCAGTAAATGGGTACCCGGTAGGATGAAACAGTTATGGGTTTGTCGCTTTTATTCCCAGTATTATTTCGAAGTCTATATTTGATCCAACTGTGCTAGTGTGATCTCATGATTGGAAAATTCTCTAGATCGCTATTTCCCAAGAAAGGTCATCGTTCCGAAGGTTTCCGTAGTAAGGAGGTTCTATATTTCAACCTTTAGCAAAATATATATCTGCCCTTGAGAATACGGTCGAGTGAATCACATGAAACAAATAGCTAATGATTTGAGATATAGGGGAACACACGTGATGGCAGATACGAATCATTATTGGTAAAAAGTTCAGCCAAAGAGATATCTGCTCTTGGGAATATGTATAAAAACAGTGTGCTACAGTTAAACACTGAATCGCCTACTTGCCGAAGATAGCAGGGGAATGTGCGTTATTGAAATACCTTTTCTCTGTCTTAATTTTGAATAGCAATGTTCGAATTTGATCTGTAGTACACAACCCTCGATAATCCAGTGCATTATGTCTCCATTCCATCCTGATATCTACAGCGGGATGCAAGAATCGGTTGCTATATTCAGGTGTTCGTAATCACCATGTACGCAGTAGAGAGGTTTAAATCCGTTCATTAGAGATTCAACTATTCGCAAATATTGATTTGTGATTATGTATTTTAACCATGATTTAACTTATCTGACAGTTTGGAATCAGAAAATCATACTGCGTAATAGGAACGAAATATCGATGGTATTTTTTCTTAATTTAAGATTATCGACATTGTAAATATTTGATCTTGTTTTTATGCGTTAAACTTGTAATCTGAGCGTCGTCATCAACCCCCAAGTGCTGAAACCGCTTCAGTGACTTAAACTCCTCTGGCATTGACATGCTATGTGCTGATTCTTGCTCACCATTGCTATCAGTTGTGATTGGGCAGATCTTATCGCATCGCTGCAATCGATTGCTATTTACAAGCTAGAGATTACACAGGATCAAATGTTAGGTGGGTGTTGGATGGTTCGGGGAACAACAAAGGTAGTGCGTGAGTATGGTTTTACGCCGCTTTTAGCAATATTCCAGCAATATCAGAGTGGGGGCCACAATAAATGGGTTTCACACATTGTACTCATGTCGGGAATCGAACCCGGGTCTTTGGCGTGAGGAGCGAACGCTTTAACCACTTGGCCACCCCACCTACCCACACTATATATAGGTTTACGGGAGGGAGGGGCGGGGATCCAGGGTGTTGTGGGGCGGGATAAGTGATGGATTGAGGGAGTATAACAGGTGATGTCTGAATAGCTGCCAACCCGCTAGCCCGTGGCTGATAACATTTTTTAGGGACAAGGTCTGATAACCGAATGTCTGATAAACACATTCAGCAATAGTTATTGTATTTATTTTGACAGTCGGTGAAGATTTACTGCATTAAACATTTGCTTTACTGCAAATCACGACTGAATTTCGATTCATTTCGTCTTTATATGGACTGGTTATCAGTTTCGGTGTTTACGAAAGTTTAAACGTGCGTCAGATTGGTTCACCTCGGCATGCGGGCCAATTGTAGTAGAGGTAATAATCGATGAAATCCCTCTGCCAAAATGGCAATGTGGCAGGTCCTGGAAGCGTGTTGTTGCTAGGCCTCTGGTTTAGGTTGTTTTACACGATTTACGATGTCTCAGTCGAATATATTTAGAATTTTTTTGGAAATACTGATGATTTTATAGATAAGACAATGGAAGAAAGGGAGAAAGAAAAGAAAGAGCGAAACCGCGATCAAGACAAACATCGGCGAGTAAATCAGAGAAATGATAATTTAATTTGTTCGTTATCTACTCTAGAATGCACTAACTGGACTGTTAGGGTGACATTTTTTCACACACTGACACCAAGGAATTTGTATAGTTGAGGTGGGGTTGGGCAATTTTGATGCTGGCAAGAACATTTAGCGGTGTTCCACTCTTCTGATGATGATGGGGAAGTGTTTGGTGGTTATGGTATTTGGCAGGTGGATGCAGAGTTGAATGGTGGTTGTTCACTGATGTTGTGAGTGTTGAATGGTGGTTGTTCATTAATGGTGTGAGTGTTGAATGGTGGTTGTGTATGGATGGTGTGAGTGTTGAATAGTGGTTGTGTATGGATGGTGGCGTGAGTGTTGAATGGTGGTTGTTCACTGATGGTGTGAGTGTTGAATGGTGGTTGTTCATTGATGGTGTGAGTGTTGAATGGTGGTTGTGTATGGATGGTGGCGTGATTGTTGAATGGTGGTTGTTCACTGATGGTGTGAGTGTTGCATGGTGGTTGTGTATGGATGGTGGTGTGAGTGTTGAATGGTGGTTGTTCACTGATGGTGTGAGTGTTGAATGGTGGTTGTTCACTGATGGCGTGAGTGTTGAATGGTGGTTGTTCACTGATGGTGTGAGTGTTGAATGGTGGTTGTTCACTGATGGTGTGAATGTTGATTGGTGGTTGTGTATGGATGGTGGTGTGAGTGTTGAATGGTGGTTGATCACTGATGGTGTTAGTGTTGAATGGTGGTTGTGTATGGATGGTGGCGTGAGTGTTGAATGGTGGTTGTTCACTGATGGTGTGAGTGTTGAATGGTGGTTGTTCATTGATGGTGTGAGTGTTGAATGGTGGTTGTGTATGGATGGTGGCGTGATTGTTGAATGGTGGTTGTTCACTGATGGTGTGAGTGTTGCATGGTGGTTGTGTATGGATGGTGGTGTGAGTGTTGAATGGTGGTTGTTCACTGATGGTGTGAGTGTTGAATGGTGGTTGTTCACTGATGGCGTGAGTGTTGAATGGTGGTTGTTCACTGATGGTGTGAGTGTTGAATGGTGGTTGTTCACTGATGGTGTGAATGTTGAATGGTGGTTGTGTATGGATGGTGGTGTGAGTGTTGAATGGTGGTTGATCACTGATGGTGTTAGTGTTGAATGGTGGTTGTGTATGGATGGTGGCGTGAGTGTTGAATGGTGGTTGTTCACTGATGGTGTTAGCGTTGAATGGTGGTTGTTCACTGATGGTGTGAGTGTTGAATGGTGGTTGTTCATTAATGGTGTGAGTGTTGAATGGTGGTTGTTCATTAATGGTGTGAGTGTTGAATGGTGGTTGTGTATGGATGGTGTGAGTGTTGAATAGTGGTTGTGTATGGATGGTGGCGTGAGTGTTGAATGGTGGTTGTTCACTGATGGTGTGAGTGTTGAATGGTGGTTGTTCATTGATGGTGTGAGTGTTGAATGGTGGTTGTGTATGGATGGTGGCGTGAGTGTTGAATGGTGGTTGTTCACTGATGGTGTGAGTGTTGAATGGTGGTTGTTCATTGATGGTGTGAGTGTTGAATGGTGGTTGTGTATGGATGGTGGCGTGATTGTTGAATGGTGGTTGTTCACTGATGGTGTGAGTGTTGCATGGTGGTTGTGTATGGATGGTGGTGTGAGTGTTGAATGGTGGTTGTTCACTGATGGTGTGAGTGTTGAATGGTGGTTGTTCACTGATGGCGTGAGTGTTGAATGGTGGTTGTTCACTGATGGTGTGAGTGTTGAATGGTGGTTGTTCACTGATGGTGTGAATGTTGAATGGTGGTTGTGTATGGATGGTGGTGTGAGTGTTGAATGGTGGTTGATCACTGATGGTGTGAGTGTTGAATGGTGGTTGTGTATGGATGGTGGCGTGAGTGTTGAATGGTGGTTGTTCACTGATGGTGTTAGCGTTGAATGGTGGTTGTTCACTGATGGTGTGAGTGTTGAATGGTGGTTGTTCATTAATGGTGTGAGTGTTGAATGGTGGTTGTTCATTAATGGTGTGAGTGTTGAATGGTGGTTGTGTATGGATGGTGTGAGTGTTGAATAGTGGTTGTGTATGGATGGTGGCGTGAGTGTTGAATGGTGGTTGTTCACTGATGGTGTGAGTGTTGAATGGTGGTTGTTCATTGATGGTGTGAGTGTTGAATGGTGGTTGTGTATGGATGGTGGCGTGATTGTTGAATGGTGGTTGTTCACTGATGGTGTGAGTGTTGCATGGTGGTTGTGTATGGATGGTGGTGTGAGTGTTGAATGGTGGTTGTTCACTGATGGTGTGAGTGTTGAATGGTGGTTGTTCACTGATGGCGTGAGTGTTGAATGGTGGTTGTTCACTGATGGTGTGAGTGTTGAATGGTGGTTGTTCACTGATGGTGTGAATGTTGAATGGTGGTTGTGTATGGATGGTGGTGTGAGTGTTGAATGGTGGTTGATCACTGATGGTGTTAGTGTTGAATGGTGGTTGTGTATGGATGGTGGCGTGAGTGTTGAATGGTGGTTGTTCACTGATGGTGTTAGCGTTGAATGGTGGTTGTTCACTGATGGTGTGAGTGTTGAATGGTGGTTGTTCACTGATGGTGTGAATGTTGAATGGTGGTTGTTCACTGATGGCGTGAGTGTTGAATGGTGGTTGTTCACTGATGGTGTGAGTATTGAATGGTAGTTGTTCACTGATGGTGTGAGTGTTGAATGGTGGTTGTGTATGGATGGTGGTGTGAGTGTTGAATGGTGGTTGTTCACTGATGGTGTGTGTGTGTTGAATGGTGCTTGTTCATTCATGGTTTTGGTGAGTGTTGAATTCTCATGATGGTGAGCAATTGTTGGGAATTACACACTGTATGAAAGCAAAATAAATATAAACACATCTCGCGCTGATAGCAGTATAAAGGGGCGTGGTCGAACGTGGGCGGGACATGTGGTGTGAGCGGGAGAGGCGGAACTTGGGCGGGGCATATGGTGTGACCCGGAGAGGCGGAATGATGTGAATGGAAGGACGGAGTGGCTGTCGATAACTTAGATCTGGCATTTATTTGGAGTGTTCAATACAACCCGTTTAAAACTATATCGCATTAAACCTAGCAATCTACGTACAGAAAAAGACGCACGGACTCGCTGTCTGACCAACACCTGCCTGGTTCAATGTATAAACCCCAAAGGGCAAGTAGTATTAATCTTTTTATCTTGGTCGATCGCTGATAAGCTGATTAGTAAATATATACGGGGAGGAAGAGACACCTGTCACTGTCAGTCACAACATGTCTCGCTGGTCACATGAGACGTTTTTAAACCTTTTTTTACGAATCAGAAGGCTCCCTCAAAATATGAAATGTGAAAATAAATTATATAAAATAAAATGTGAATAGTATTCTTTTTTTATATTCAACCGATCAGAACTATTATATGAAGTAAACCCTCAGTAATCCGGATATTACGGTTCTAAGCAAATCTTCCTGATAAACAAATGTCCGAACCGTGTATAAATATGTCCCCACTAAGGTCATCGGATAGATGAGGGTTCCATATGAACGGGTTCAGAATAATAAAGTGGTTAAGAAATCATATAAACATATTAAAATAACATTGAGATAATACTCATCGACCCATTTATTTTAAAATATATTTTTGGATTAAACATACGTATTCGCAAGAAGTTAACGGGATATGGGACAATATAGCTTCCAACTTTTATTGCCCCCCCCCCCCCCCCCCCCTGGTATGTACGAATTCAGCACTATAGAAGAGACATAAAATGATTGATAGATAGATAGTGTGTATGAGAGAGTGAGAGAGTGAAGATCGATTATTTGAATAAGAAATCAAATACATTGCTGGATAAACAGTTCATTTTGGACTGCCTTACATGTATATAGCTTCAGTATCTGTAACAACGTGATCTGCATTGCAGTGTAACTATAGGTTTAGATCAACGGGTATGTTATGAACACTGTCAGTATGTTTAAGGCTTTAAACATGACGACCGCCTCCGTGGTCTAGTGGTAGTTCGTCCGCCCGGAGAGCGGAAGGTCCGGGGTTCGATACCCGGCCGCGTCTTACCAAAAGGCGTTAAAAGATGGTACTTGTTGTTATCCTGTCTGACGCTAGGCATTAAGGGACTAAAACAACGACTGGTCGGCTCGGAGTCAGTAAACTGTGTCTGAGTGGGATATTCATGTTAAACTGCGGCAATGTATCTCAGTGAGCCAGCACTATAAATCGGCATCAGTCCGGACTAGTACAAGCAGCCACACAAACACACACACGTACATGCACGTCGCTATATAAGTGCAATAATCTTGGACGCGACGTTAAACCCCATTTCACCTCACCTCACCTTTAAACATGACACGTTGGTGACTAAACAATGTACATTTCCATGAGTTAATGATATGCATTTTAACATGTAAATGTTCATGTACAGTTAGGATGCTCTTTGATACCAATTCCATAATAAATCATAATCCAACTGCACAACTACGATTTCTTTTAATGCACTCGTTTTATATTTATGCCATGTCCATAATTTGCATCGAGTTTAATGTAGTATTTCTGAAAACATGATTGAGCAAGGGAATTTTAATTTGTAAAGTGACAATATATGTATCAAGGTATAACAGTAAACTTCATTCTAACATGTTGACTCTTGACTGGAACCGAAGCTTCAGATTGTACACATCCTCGGAGACCACAAGTACGTCGTGTGTGTCCAGATTTCACAGACACAGATGTTCCATTTAGCTGAAACGGGCAAATTATTATCCCGAGTCACCATTGGGTTCGTGTGTTGCTTACGATGACAAAATCCATGTTGCTAAAAAATATAACTGTCATATAACGAATATTTACAGCGGTTCAATTCCTCTGAGAACAAAGTTGCCGACAGTCTGTCTTCAAACAAAAAGTGCTATTTGTATTTAATATATGTATAGGATGGGAATATGACACTGGCATGCTATGAGTAGTTTCGTGATATTGTATTGTCAAGCATAAATATAAAGCTGATGACAATTTAAAGAAGCTGTCACTTCTCAACTCAAATCTTTGTATAGCGGTAGCAAGAACTACATGTAAGATGCGACCTCTGCGACCACATTTGCACTTATGAACTTGCTGTAAAACAGCAAATAAAATAAGTCTGAAACAAAATACCTACACTGACAGTAAAGTGTTTGGGAAACGCAAAAATGACGTAAACTGAGCAAATTGAATGGCGGTTTACATTAGGACAATGATCTTGGGCCAAAACAATAGTGGGTCTTAACATCTGAGAAATCTGTTTACACATTGAACTTATTTATAGAAAAAAATCAAATTTAAACCTGACGTTTATTGGTTTGAATTCTGATACTCTTCGACCCTGTAGATGAGGCTTTAAAAGCTAGTCTTGACCTGACGTAGACCCGGAATCCCCGTTTTGGACAGTAGGACAGTAAAATACAGCGTGTTGAGGCACAATACCTACACGTAATTCCATAGTAGTGAGTGAGCGAGTTTAATTCTACGCCGCTTTTAGCCAATATTCCAGAAATATCACGGCAGGGGACACCAGATATAGGCTTCACACATTGTACCCATGTCGGGAATCGAACCCGGGTCTTCGGCGTAGCGAGCGAACGCTTTAAACACTAGGCTACCCGACCGCCCCTAATTCGAAAGTAAGATGGCGACACCATACATGAAACTTTCTATTAAGAGAATTATTTAGAGAAGTTTTCCATCATCAAACGAAATAGAAATATACCCAAGCAGAGTCACTTAACTATCCTATGTATTATGCCTCACTTCTTTATGATTAATAACCTAGATCAATTCTCCACCACAGCTTCGTGGCGGAAGTGACGTCACCATCTCAACCTTATCACTCACTCAGCCCGTAATGTCTCTCGCTCAGATCGGTTGTTTTTTACGTTCTTTTTTCGCGAACCAAACTCAAGATGAAGTTACGATGGCGCCATCCAAGCTTTGTATAATAATTGAATGATATAATATACCAGATAATAGCGGATGATACATCACTGGCTTGCTTTTTTATTAGTGACACAAATATTCCAATGGCATACAACAGGTACTCCTTATAACAGGTTGTTTATGTATCATTTTGAGTGGAAACATGACTTCGTATGTGCAGCGTCCTGCAACAAACATTTACTTTTTTGTCCAAATTGTGTGAGCTACCAGGAAGGCTGGACATGCTCACATATTTCGCAAACACCTGGTGTCATCACTGATTTTCAGTGATTCATTCATATCATTTTCACCGCTATTTTGTCTTTTACACCAAATCGAATCTGTTTCGTTGGATAATCGAGACTAGCTTTGACTTAATGGCTCGGATTTTGTATCGAGATTAGATGGGGTTGATGATGTGTCAGCGTGATGTGGGAGGTAAGTCCGAAGCGATGCAAGTCTCAGACGTGAAACCTACGAGCACCATCTTCCCGAGGCAAGAGAGTTAACTGACTTGAAAAGTCCAGTTTCCACCCTTGCCGAACAAGGCTGGACTTACTGGGCCCGATCGTAGCGCCACCAGTGATTATTACGAGTTATGTCCCTTATAAGCCTCTCCTAAGGACCAATCAGATTCCCCCTCTCGTATCACTTGCATTTGTTTCAAACAAAATGGCGGCGCCCAGTCAAGACGATTTGATCGATAATCAAGATCTATGTTGTGATAAAACGGGTCTTACCTCGCGAAGTGCATCAAATCCCGTGAGCAGCTTGGTCAAAACGTGAAAAGCCTTGGAAAATATCTGTTGACAACGAGTTGGCGGTGCACATGCTTTGCAAATCATGCAATCGACCGAAATCTGCACGACAGTTTACTAACCGGATTTCGATTTCGGTGCGTGATTTTAATTGGACTATGCATAGACTCGTTAGTCCAGCCAAAATGTAACTCCATAATACCAGCCTAGTTCGGCAAGGGTGGAAACTGGACTTTTATAGTCAATTAACTCCCTTGCCTCGGGAAGATACGTCAGAACGGCCTTTCGCGAACTTTGGAGACGAAATGAAAGGGCTAACAAGAAGCCGTCATTAGCCAATCACAAAGCGTCTTTCTCGAGCTTTACGGCACAAGTTCAAACTGGCGACTTCCATTCCAGACTCCGCTTTGAAAAATATTTTGACAAAAAGTCTCGATTCAAAATTTCAAAACTAAACAAATAATTATTCTGGAAAGTCTAAGAAAATGGCCGAGATTGTATGACAGACTATGGAAAGTGTCGAGCGTTTCAAATATCTTTCCCATATTGGAGCGAGAGAGAGACGATGAATCTGACATGAGTCTTACAGTCCGTAACCGTCGTTCGGAATACCACGTGTAAACCTTTTCGATGTTGCATGATTAGAAAACACATTCCGTCTGTCATTTCCCGATTTGGTAGTCCTGATTGGTCGGATGAAATGTCCCTAGAACTGACGTGACCCGTAATGGGATGTCTTCAGATCTTTCCCGGTAGCGAGAGCTAAGATCTTAGTTTAATTAAATATAGATTGGCTAGGAACCCATTACCACAATTAAACAATGACATGGCCGTCCTTGTAAATCAACAGACTTTTATTAGTTGCACGTGTGATCACTTGTCAGATCTAAGACAACATGATTTGAATTCGGCCGTTGCCTCCTTATCGCTTAACTTTCATCACTGTTTAACAAGACAAGTCAATTCTCAAACACAGTAATATCATGTATTAATTTTATTGGTCATATTTCATTTTATTATCATCATCATCATCATCATCATTATTTACAGATTAAATATAAAATGCAGCAAAGAGGGTTTGGGTGATGCTGGCACAGTCATGCTCATCATCAGCTCAGGGGCCTTGCCCCCTCTACACGCAGCCCAGACAGATTTATTATTATTATTATTATTATTATTATTATTATTATTATTATTATTATTATTATTATTATGGCCTGGTATTGTTTATCCCATATATCATAAACCAATCAGTGCCCTTCGAGTATGTTTGCTGTTTAACGCAGCAATACTTCAGTTGATAACGGCGGTGTGTAATTAGACGAATCCGGACCAGACAATCCAGTGATTGACATCATGAGCATTGATTCAGGCAATTGGGATTAAGTGACAAGTTCACGAGCCTGACCATCCAATACATTCAGTCGCCTCTTACACATGTTGCTGGGGACCTATATTCTTACCCAGAATCCCATCGGTTTATTTCCGATTGGACATCCGGGGCACGAGAATACAATATAACCTTTCTCCTTCTCTTCTTCTATGCTAAACTATCGTAATCTCCTCAACACATTTCAGAGCAAAGTATATTTTCAATGTCGAGAACCTCACCCAATCTGACACAAGGATCCAGCGCGATGCCATCAACAGGTGCCGCGCGCCGTCGTGGTATACACCCCATCAGAATTAGACATTTAGAAGTAGTAAAGTAGGATGTGTTGTCTAACAGTTCCGTTTTCCTATCAACTATCGCGAGTGTAATCACACATGTTTCCTCCGAGGTGTGTTTCCTCCACCTACAACGATAACGTATCGTAACCGTCGATCACGCAACAAAACGCAAACACCACATGAGGTAGCTGTGCATTGTCAGATAAGATACCGAAAACGTTCACAGATGGTTCTAATCATTAGCGCGTGAGCCCACCCTTTCTTCGTATACTTTAATTATTTTATTATATATCCACGTTAAAGTGCTTAGTCTTCCCATATGGCAATTACATAAAACCTGGAATTTTAATGAGCTTATCGTAGTACCAAACGTTCATGATTATGTAATAAAATGGTTGTCTGGAGTGGCGGGAGGCCCGCTGTTTGTTTGAGTTAATTGAGACATGTTTATGTCTTGCTTGCGATTGAGTTTGGGTTGAAACGTATTTGTCTGTTTGATGTATGTTGCGTGTATATTTCATTGATGGTGGGCGATCCAAACGTACATGTTTTTTTGATGTAGGTTGCTTGTATATTCCAGTGGCAGTGGGCGGTCAAAACATACATGGATATTTCGTGTATATTTCATTGATTGTGGGCGGTCACAACACACATGGAAATTTCATGTATATTTCATTGATTGTGGGCTGTCAAAACATACATGTATATTTCATTGATGGTGGGCGATCCAAACATACATGTATATTTCATGTATATTTCAATGATTGGGGGCGGTCACAACACACATGTGAGTGAGTATGGTTTTACGCCGCTTTTAGCAAGTTTCTAGCAATATCACGGCGGGGGACCCTGGGAATGGGCTTCACATATTGTACCCACAAAACGTACATGTATATTTCATGTATATTTCATTGATTGTGGCAGGTCAAAACTTACATGTATATTGCATGTATATTTCAGCGACGGTGGGCGGTCCAAAGAATATCTAGATCGAGACCAAACAAATTATATAACGTAATAAGAAGAATAAGGAGGTATAATTTCTGCAAATAATTTATGTCTATATATACCTACCGATTTGCTATTTATGTATCAGTTCTGATATTACTTATTACAAGAAATGACCTTGATAATATCTCAACTGAACCGATCATTTCCAGCGTGTGCAAAGGATCGTTCTTACAGATAAACATGTGTTCGGAAGTGTTGTAGCGGAAACAAGATTATATATCCTAATGTTTATAGTGTGAGCGTTATCTTTCCTTATGAACCAATGTCAGGCCTCTCATGCGTATCAAGAGGCGTGGGGTAGCCTTGTGGGTTACAGCGTTCCGAAGACCCATGTTCGAATCCCCACATAGGTATAATGTGTGAAGCCCATTTCGTGAGTATTGCTAAAAGCGTCGTAAAACCATACTCACTCATATCATTAAGTGTAAAACGGAAGTGTAAAACATGATTGTCGTTTTGTCACTATCAATAGCGGTTTAATAACAGTGGCAAATAATCCACCCTTGGTCGAGTGTGAAATCTGGAGGACCAACCTCAGACATAAAAATTGGAGTTTTAGAAGTTGGAAGAACTTTTCGAGATAACAACTTCATTAATGTTTGTAACGACATCTCAGGGCCTCCTCTTGCCCCTCAGACCCGTGAAGATTCCGGGGTAGAATAGGTCTTCAGCAAGCCATGCTTGTCTCCCCCCGTGAAGATCCGGGGTAGAATAGGTCTTCAGCAACTCATGCTTGTCTCCCCCCGTGAAGATCCAGGTAGGGTAGGTCTTCAGCAACCCATGCTTGCCGTAAAAGGCGAATATGCTTGTCGTAAGAGGCGACTTACGGGATCGGGTGGTCAGGCTAGCTGACTTGCTTGATGCATGTCATCGTATCCCAATTGGATATCCCGTGGATCGATAATCATGATGTCAATCACTGGATTGTCTGGTCCAGACTCGACTATTTACAGACGGCCGTCATATAGCTGTAATATTGTTGAGTGCGGCGTTAAACAACAAACAATACAATACAATCTTGCCCCTTAATCGTACACAAGGTAGGAGTAATGGACAAAGATAATACGGCGAGGAAGCCAATGGGCTGGACGGGAGATAAGCCACATAAGGGACAAGAAGTAGCCATAAATCGTCGTTACAAACGACAAATGAGCTGTGGTCAATAAAAGTTTCATGTCTTCATAATCATTGAAATACAGTTGTAACGCGGCAACCCATTATATGATAATGTCGCCTTTTTCTGCTGATACATTAAGTATTGTGTCATATCTAAGCGTTCTTTTCTGCGCAAATATTATTGAAGAACAGTAATATTCTAATCAGGGAAATAATTATTTTGTAACCTGTATGGACAAAGCGATCTTCCGACTTCTTGAACAACAACAACAATTAAAACAAATTAACCATAAATTAAACAATTACAATCACGCCGAGAGATAATCGATCTATCGTTTGTCAGGTGGTCCGCCCTGTTTGGCGACACTTTGTTTACCAAGACTACAAGGGTGTACCATTACTTGTTTTGATCTTCACTCGACTCATTCTTGATCATTTTCAGGTAATCTCCAAGCTCCTAACACTGCCGCATCCTGTTTCTGGTTTGTGTCGTTGGGGGGGCACCTGGTTGGCTCCAAACATCACGGTGTCAGATAGTAGATGCGAGAATGTGGCGGCAGCGTCGATGTATGGAGCAATCGCACAGCCAATATCGGCAATGTGATGTGGAGTTCAGCTCAGCGAATCTTCAGCAGACGATAATTGCCAGCGAGGCTCTTGCTTTGGAATATGGAATATTTCCCGCTGTGTCCAGATGGTGAACGCACTTAGAGGTGATATAGTGATCGTCGGTGTTAAGGAAACCCTTCTATGATTCACGACGACGTTCAACATCATTTACCAGATTAAAAGAGCGACAATTTATGTAACTATTTATACATGTTGGTTTTTCACGTGTACACACGTGGCCAACAACAAACATTAGATACTTCTTGAACATTTCAGAGAGCAGTTCATGCATCTGGTGGATGAGTTTTAGCTTGTTAAACTCTGTTCTTTCTCAACTTTGGACTAGGAAGTGGGAATAACGGTTTGATGAAGTTAGCACTAGGGCGTTTCTTCACGACAGTTTTATGTTCTGTAAAGACACCTCGAGGATCTGAGAAATATCGTTGTTGGACAAATTAACCTACTGATTGAAGAAGAATTCGAAAATGGATGGTTCCATGGTGTGTTGGATTTACCTGTTATGGTCGGTCGGTGGATATGTTGGAAATTCTCAACAGGTAAGTAACACTTTTATATAATCTTTGTGTTGGCTCGATAATATTAATTTATATTCAAAGTATTATTTAACTAGATTTTACAATTGAGATAACTGTATCATAATTACGAATGTATTTACATGTTTTTTGTTGTAATGAAAGGAGTTTTGTTGCTGCATTTTTTATAAAGTTAGAATTGAAAACTTCAGATTTAATACAGTATTCATAAATGAATAACCGTATATACGTGTTGGAAGCACATTCTAGTGGGACAGTATTACACATGTGTGCAAGTTAACTAACCAACAGTGGTACACAGAAGATCGTCCGAGTTATGTTATAATCGTAAGTCATATTGTGTGATAAATCTTTGACGTTCTTCACCTCAACATTTCATTGTTGAATTATGTTCAACGTTGTCGTCACTTATGAATAAAGTTCTAGCACATTCGTCAGCACCATGTCGCGCTCGCGGTTTTCCTAAGGAACCATATCGGTATGTGGTCTCTGGTTTCGTCGAAATGTGAAATGTCCAAGACCTGACATTTGCTGATTCACCCGGGGTTTCATTCCAAATTTAGCGCAATCGCCGTGATGACTGATATTTTACGTGAAACACAAGTCAGCCACAGCGTTGCTCCAGACAAGTCAAACTGTTAAGATGAGCCCACCCTCAGATTCACACGAAAGATAATTGAGTAATCCATATGAAACAATTCTACTTTTCTATGAAATTACTAGCTCAGCGAAATCTCTTTACTTTAACCCCATATATGTTAACATAACGTGAACGACCTATTCGTTCACTCTGTTGATAAGATGTGTTAAAGAAGACCTTTTGTACTTTTTAAGAACATTGTGACACTAGGTCTTCAGCAACCAATGCTTGCCGTAAAAGGCGATTATGCTTGTCGAAAGAGGTGACTAACGGGATCTGATGGTCAGATTCGCTGATTTGTTGATGCATGCCATCGTATCCCAATTGCGTGGGTCGATGCTCATGTTTTCAATCACTGGATTGTCTGGTCAAGACTCGATTATATACAGACCGCCGTCATATAGCTGGAATATTGCTGAGTGCGGCGTTAAACAACAAACAAACATACGATTTATTGAGTGGAATATTTAATTAATTTTCAACTGAAGCTCTTTATTAGAGTACAAATTAAAAATACTTTAAGATACTTTTTCGAAACACTGCAAATCTGAAGACAAAATAAATGTCCCATTTTAAATACAGATGTACATTGTCGAAACATTCGCCCCGTGATTACTTATACATTCCTGGGCAGCCTATCAAGCCTAAACATGCAACAACATACTGCGATGATGAGTTTTGGAGCGCACTCGATCGGGAATAGTCAAATAGTCATTAATGAAGGTCTTTCTACGACGACTCTAAACTGAGGCGTTTGTGAACAAAAATGCACTATTAACTGCGCTGAAAAACAACAAATAAAACAAGTCTGTAAAAGAAAACACCGACAGTTAGCTGTTTTGGAAACGCAAACATGTCGTAAACTGAGCGAAATGACTGGCGGTTTAGACTATGACAATGATCTTGGGCCGAACAAAAGTTAGTAAAAAATATCGGAAATCTGTTTACACATTGATCTGATGAATGAAACCTGACCGTAAATTAATTGGTTTGGTCTCTCTGTTGTTTAGTCTCATTGTAGTAGTGAGCTTCCTAGAGCTATACAGCACACGTTTCACACTGGCCACTTTGGTTCCAGTGATCGGTTGACTTGGGGTTTCGGTGCATTTAGCAATATTCCTGCAATATCACGGCGGGGGACGCAACACACATCAACTGTAAATGGTAACGAAAGGAAAGCAGTCAACAACAAAAACACAATTCTTTTTAGTTCATGTTCAACTATGTTAGAAAATACGTGCCAAAGGCGGCCAACTCTATTTCTTATGAGTCGGGGCCAGTTGGTGTATGTCTGGGATTCGTACCAGTACCACACATCATCTTGTGTCGTACAGATCATCCGTCATCCACAGGGCTCTTTGGAGTAAGTCGTTATCGCGTTTCCATCTTTGCGCTTTTAAATTCTTGACTAAGCACTTATGCGCCCTGATTTGTAGTGTTCAATTTTAAGGTCAAATGTGCAGCCATTAAATTATTGTCTCCTGACTTTCATGTCCTAAAGACGTAATTCATGACATCCTCCTGTAAGTTGTAGGCGTTACCACGCATTAATCAAGGTCATTAATCATCTTGTTGTCGAGAAGTCAACTTGTCTATACAAGAATTGATCCAGCACGGGTTAGAATAGGTCTTCAGCAACCCATGCTTGTCGTAAAAGCCGACTATGCTTGTGGTAAATGTCGATTAACGGGATCGGGTGGTAAGGCTTGCTGACATTGTTGATGCATGTCATCGTATCCCAATTGCCTGGATCGATGCTCATGATGTCAATCACTGGGTCGTCTGGTCCACACTCCATTATTTACAGACCGCCGATATACAGCTGGAATGTTGCTGAGTGAGGCGTTAAATAACAAACAAACGTTAAGAAATTAGTGATTCTTGCGTAACGCCGCATCAGAAATCTTACAGCAATTCGCTGCAATGTTTAAGGGTGGGTGAGATGTTTCGATATTTAACCTGTCACATCATGGCAATATACATTGTTTATTCGTCGCTTTTGGAGACAGGCCTAGTTATATTGTCAATAATTACGATATTGTGTGTTATAGATATAACATTTCTTAAGGGTACCATTGACCATACGAGGCCCACCGTTTCCGTTGTCTGGTGGCGTCTGCCCGGAAAGTGGCACGTTGTGGTTCGATCCCCGGCCGCGTCATACTTAAAGACGTTTAAAGATTATACTTGATTCCCTGTGTGGCGCTCGCCATCAAGGGGTAAAAACAAGGACTGGCCAAGGCGAGGTCAGTTTACAATGTCTGAGTGGGGTATCCATGTTAAACTGCGGCATGGTATCACAGCGGACCATCACTTTATAAAAGGAGTGCATTATTATTGTGTATATCCAAAAAGTGTTCACACCGGTTTTTATGTTTAGAATTCCATAAACGTAAACCATATTGTAATCAATTCTTAAATATAGCGTTTAAACAAATACTTCGAAAATAATAAATTCACAAATTGCTTTTTTAATCTTTAACATGTCAAAAAATATAAACAACATTACGAAATCATTGACATCGTTCAGCGAAATAATGCCACACAAGCCCCGCAAATTCTATTATCAGCCAATCAGGAAACAGTAGTCCGTTAGCCCGTAATATTTCGGTTTAAGTTAGCCAAACAAATGCCGCGGAATCACTTGAAATCTATTTATTCTATGATGGGATTGTATATTCATGGTAAGTGATTTACGGAACAAATATGTGTCTTCCTCGTATCCCAAATGTAGTTCACTGTTGTATTATATATGCTTGTCAATACAATTGTACTCAGCTATAAAAATATATACGGTGACATTTGCCCAAAGGGGCCATAACAGAAACGTCACTTCTACCGTAAGTGATGTCTAACGGTGAGCAGCCCACAGACGGCGTTACATAGTGGTGTAAATGCATGTGGTGCCAGAAACTCTCCCCATTAACACTTGACCTTTAGAGCTCGGAAGCAATGTATTAGGCTGATCGTTGGGATGACAAGATTTATTTTTGATATCACTTGTTAGCGATTCCCTAAATGCCAAAATGATCCCTAACCAGCGATTCAAATTAGCCTCTTTTATTTTTCATTTACGATACATCGCAAAACTAATGGGATTATAAACCGCAATCTGATCCCTTGAAATACGCTGCTTAAAGGTATTCAGGACGCAAAGAAGTCTTCGCACATTTCACTGCGTATAAATACATTTTCTTGACACGGATTGAATTCGTTTCTTTACAATCCTAAATTTAAAAAGATCATGCCACTCGACATGACGAAATGGACACGACGTCAAATAGTATTAGTTTTATCAATATTTATCAGAACAAATCCGATGTAGTTTTACCCCACATCCAGGTGCGCGTAATCATGTGACGTCATCCATTGTATCATGACGTCATCGCATTCCAGGGAGACAACACAGCATTACAGAGAAAAATCATGAATGTCTAACAGTTGTGAGAATTTTCGTAGAGAGAGTTTTTTTTTTAAAAACGTGCAAATAACTTGTGTCTTTTTTCAATGTAGATAAACGTTATAATATATTTTTTATTGAATATTACCAAGAAATCTGTGTTATATGTTTCCGATCTTGGAATAATGCTGTGTGCGGCGTAAAACAACAATCAAACCAAACCAAATCATTCGTTCTTTCTTCAGTTTCTCTCTTATAATGTCAATGAATAATATACATGTAAGTAGCGGGCGATTCTCCGAGTATTCTGGAAATATCTTTCTTCATACAATCTTTCATAAACATTATTTCCTTTTTATATAAATCGTTCCACTTTACGGTCACGTTCCCTATTTGTACATCACTCGCTCCATTTGTCTGTCTGTGGGCCAGAGAAAAAACTTTTCGGGCTGTTCGCAATGACTTCCGGATCCAGGTATCGTGAAACCTCGCGTCACTGCACGATAGTTAATGTCAGCCTGCGACTACCAGGCACAAAAGCAATTAGGTGAAATTACCTTGCAGTAACTTCCAAGGGATGAATTATAGAACTCCCCCAAGTGCAGGACCAGACAAGTCAGCTCCTTGAGGTTTGGAACACATTGTAATTGTCCTCTGTCGCCTTCAGTTGATGCAGAAAGGTGTGTGCAGATGCGACCCGTGTCTCAGTGGTGACAGAGTAGGCACTAGTCCTGCACCATGACCGTGGAATATATTTATTTTATGAAAAAATAATAATCTAGAAATGCATTCAAAAGCAAGTCTAGCAAGCTCAAGCTAGCTCTATTCCACAGTCATGTTATTTTGGGGAGAGGACTGGTCGAAATAGCGAACGGTAATTAAGTCCCTTTCTTATCATATCAGAGAAATCAGCATAGGGAATTTTTTTTATTTTTCGAGTCAAGAAGGATATTGTGTAATATA